TTGGTGTATGCTGAGCTTCCTGGGTTTGTGCTTTGTTTGGTGTCTGCTGTTAAGTTTGGAGAGTTCTTCTTGGCCATTATTACTCATTTTATACCACCTTTTCCACTGGCTTTGCAATTACTGATAGCTTGTCTCTTCCTTCCCTCCCTTCCCCCTCCTTCTTTCTTGTCTTCTCTCCTTTCGCCTTGCCTCTACCCCTACCTCTCTCTCTCTCTCTCTCTTACACACACAGACACACACACACACACACACACACACACACACACACATTTCTTTTCCTCATCCCATTGCTTCTCTATTTGCCTTTTGTTTTGGGAAGTTTGTTCTAGTTGTTTTTGGTTCTAGTTGTTTTTGGCGTTGCTACAGGGTCCTACTATGTTGCCCAGGCTGGTCTCAAACTCTCCATCTCAGCCTCCTTGGTACATGATTGTCTTTAGATAGTCACAAAAACTAAGATATGCAAGCAGCAGATGAATAAAAAATACAGCATACCAACACATCTGGAATATTATTCTGCCATGAGAAGAATGAAATCCTTTCATCTGCAGCAACATAGATGAAACTAAAGGACATTGGTAACAGAAATGAGCCAGACGGGGAAAGATAAATAGCAAATGTTCTCGCTTATACTGTACTGGGAAGCTCAAAATGATCTCAAAGAAGCAGAGAACTGAATGTAGTTCCCAGAGCCTGGCAAGGGTGTGGAGGAGGGACAGCTGCACAGGGACGGCACAGGGGTGCAGCTGGGCAGGAGGGATAACTGCTAAGGTTGTACAGCACAGGACAGCATTGAAAAACACTGATTGCACACGCCTGTAATCCCAGCACTTAAAAGGTTGAGGCAGGAGGACTTCTATGAGTCCAAAGCCAGCCTGGGCCAAATGAGTTGAGGGCCAGTCTAAATTACATAGGGAGACCCTGTCTCAAAACAAACAGACAAACAAAATGGAATCAAAAACCTGACTGAATATTTGAAAATCACTAGTAAAGAGGATTTTGAATGTTCCCAACACACACAAAAAAATGATACCTGCCTGAGGTGACAGATACATGATTACCCCATCTGATCACTATACACTGTATGCCTGTCACACTGTACCCTATAAATATGTAAAATTATGTGCCAGCCAGAAACAAAAACATATTTAAAATAAAACAGAAAAGATGAAGTGGGATAACATATTTAAGTATTGAAAGGAAAAAACTACCAGTTTAGAATTCAACACCAGTGAAGTTATTTTTCAAGAACAAAGGCAAAATATAAAACTTTCCTCAAACACGTGCTGCAAGAAACATGAAAAGAAATACTTTGGGCAGCGGGGCACTGCAGTCACAGCATGAAAGGGAAAGCTGAGAGAAGACAAATGAAGGCAAAATAATGTCTTTACTTTTTCTTAACCTTAATTCATCTTGAAAATAACCATGTAAGGTGGTGATGGTAGCAAGGTCTCAGGGACTGTGGACAGTGACTCTGGTGATAGCACTTTCCTGGGGCAGGAGGAGAGCTGGCAACACAGGGCATTGGTCGGGTGTGACTCCAGGTGGACTCCAGCAAGTTAAAGGTGTGTTTAACAAACTCCAGACAAGCACTGAAAAACAACTGTTTTAATTTAAAAAAACAAAAAACCCCACCACTTTGGAGGCATGGCTAGTTTTACACCACAAAACACCAGCAGGCAGGCATGGGAAAGTGGTCTAAATGGCCACGCGGGACCAACCCAATCTACAAGGGTAGGGGAGCACTGATTGAGCGCTTTCAACAGAACAGAACATGCATGCACACACATGCATGCATGCACACACATGTGCACATGCACGCGCAGTCAACTGCTCTGCTCGTTAGAAGGAAATGCACTCTACTGATACAGGAATGATATGGGACCTCCAAATGATATAAGGGAAATATTATAACTCCCAACCTGCTAAATGTCCAATATGCTGAGTTCGTGTTCCCCAATATTGAAGAATGAATTTTAAGGAACAACGGAAGTTAAGAGCAGGAACTATGTATTGAAGGAAAGAAAGCTTCTATCTAAGACAGACAGAAGGGGACCAGAAAGTGGCTTGCTCATGAGTCTACTCTTCAGGGGAAGCTTTATAGAGTAAAATCACAAGGTAGGTATAAGGTGAGACAAAACTATGGTCAAGCAATAAGATTATAAGTATAGTTGCTTAGGCAATATTGATCCAATGGGAAATCATGAGGCAGGTATAAGGTAGGACAAAACTATGATCAACCAATAAGATTATAAGTATAGTCACTTAGGTAATATTGATCCAATGGGGAAGCAGGTCACATAGCAAGTGTACATGGAAAGAACAAAAAATGTTTCAGGAAGGGTCTTGGTCACCACTGAGGTGACTGAGGTCTATCTAGATTTTATTAGACCAAGTGTTACCACTTATCTTAGGCCTGGTCATTTAATCTTTATCTTGTGGCCTGGCCTCCAACAGATGTCACAATTGTAATGAGCTTTCATCTTTGCACTGACTTTCTCAAGGGCCCAGCCCTACCTGACTGCCTATCATATTTCTACTGATCTCCGCTCTCTATAATATTACCATGACACATCTTGCTGTTCAGACAAACGTCAAGTTGAAAAATCAAACAGGTGGTACCTTCCCAAACGCGACCCTTGTTTGGTTCCAAATGTGCTGACGTTTGAGAACAGAAAGGTAGGGTGCTGGTCAAGAGCGAGCTCCTCTGCATGTCAATTCTAGCAGCTGAGCAAACACTCAAAAGAGGCAGCTCCTGGACCTGATGCCAAAGCAGGAGCCTCGCGCCTGGCCCAGGGTGAGAGCAGAAACGACCAGGCTGTACCCTCTTAGGGAACCTTGAATCCCCAGCAAGGTGAGGAGACAGAAGGACTGAGGCAGAGGCCGAAACCACAGAGGCTTGGTGTCCATCTGATGAAGTAAGAAGGGACATTTGCAATGTGATAGGGAAATGATTCCCGGGGGATGTCCTCTGAGCTGTGAAGGTTCCTGACTCATTTTCAAAGAAAAATGGGCCCCAGATGGAGTAGTTTCTCATTCTGTGTTCTTCTGCCTTTTCCCTCCTCTCATGCCTTGGAAACGCAAAGCTGCTGCCCTGGGGCCTGCCAGACTCCCGGGGGCTCTTTCTGTCTTTCAAGAAAAGCAGAGAAAAAGCACTGCGCCTTCTGTGGAGCGAGGGCGGCTGTGTTCCCCCAACCCCAGCACAGCAAATGCCAAGGTCACCTCCCGGCTGTCACCGCCTCTCTTGGCTCTCACAGCTAGTGGAACCTCCGGGGTGACTGGTCAGCTGGATGACAAACTTCATCAGAAGGGGCAACAGAAAACGCAGACCTGGGGATGGAGCGCCAAGTGTCCTGTATCCAGGCCCCTTTAGGGTCTTTCACTGAACTGGGGTTGGGGGAGCACCCCAGCCCCTCCAGGCCCTGGGCTGAGGGAAGGGATTTCAGAGGTGACCGCAGGCAGCTCACGAGGCTCCTCACGCACTGACATCTGCCATCCGTCCTGCCTGGTTCTACGTAAGTGACTGCTGGAGAAGGTGCTGCCCCAACCCTGGGGGTGCGTCAGTCCGCTCCTTGGCTCTGCACCGGTCCCAGCAGCACTGCTGAGGGCCAGGAGCCCTGGCGGCATAAAGGGAAGAAACACCAAGGAAGCAGAAACCATGTCACCTAGTCACCGTCAAACAGAGACCAGAGGATGGGGAGAGGCCTGCATGAGCCTCTGAGTGGCTGATGCTCAACTCCCTTAATGAGCAGAAGGGGAACTAACTTAAGAGCTGCTCCCACTCCACGTGCTTGGTCGTTGGGTGCTGCGTCTCCCTCTGCGCTGAGGATCTCCCGAAAGAGGATCGGTCTATGATGACAAAAGTGACTGCTGAGGGGCGCAGTCACTGTGAGCTTTTGGAAGGTGTGGGACTAAATGTTACTTCATGTGTTACACTGTGCTTGTGAATACGCAACATTATTTGGATGCCAAATACCACATCCTGATGGCTCTCCCTAACCCACACCAGTTTTCAGCCTATGCATAAAAATCAATGGCTTCAGGACTGAGCATCAAGGCTGAGGAAAAGCTGGACTCGTGGCCATGACTAGTGAGGTCCAGCACAGCATGACCTCCCCGACCCGTGTGTTACTCTTGTCAGTGTGTGTGACAAGAGCGGTTACCACAGAGCTGTCACCTCCCGCGGTTGCATCGTGAGGAGCACGGTGCTATGGGCTTCGGAGACAGGAGGGTCCACCAGGTGGCCCCAAAAGTGTCAGTGCTGAGCTCTCGCCTCCTGAGTCTGCGCCCAGTCCTGACTCGCTCATCTTAGCATCTGCCATTCACACCCCCAAGGCCATGCCACAGCCAGACTCCAGCCCCGCTCCCTCTCAGAAGGAGAAAGGAAGTGGAGGCTCCTTGCAGGCGTCCTCCTCTCTCAGGCTGGCAGCCCCCGCCTGAGCCTGTCTCTGGCCTAGTTCGAACCTGCTGTCTATGAGTGGAAGGCTCCAAAATGTGTGCCCAAGACCTGGCTCCTTGGCTCTCAACCCAGACTCCGCTCACCAGTGACGCTGCCTTTTGGCTGCCAACAGACACCTCAACATAACATGGCCCAGGCAGGTACCACCAGTGACCCCTACTCACCATGTGTCCTCTCTGTCCCCAGCCATACTAGACACCTCCCCATAGCACAAGGAACGATATAAGCCAAGCAGGCTGTGGAGGACCTGGTCTGCAGGGAGCTGCAGAAAAAACCAGGAGGGGGCATCATGGCGACAGACACCTCAGGTGCTGCGCCCGTGTCACCCTGCAGCAGCTGTGGCCGACACAGCAATCGAACAGGAGGCACAAGCGGCCACTCACCAGGCTGGCACTGCAACCTGTATGCGCCCACCCTGCAATCTCAATGCCTAAGACATCCTGCCCACCTGCGACCTTTCCATCCCGGATGAATGGATACCAGGGCCCAGCCAATGACCTCTGTCTCCATGGACGGTCAGCCTATCCCCCTCTCAGACTCCTACCTTCATACCATGGCTATGGCTCCCGCTCAGAAGACACATCGCCCTCTGCCCCGCTGCTGGCACTGCGGTCTTCCTTCCGGGGGGCAGCGCGCTCTTTGTTGGATTCCGAGGGCCCCTTGGCTCTGGTCTTTTCTTTCCGCTGCTGCTGTTTCTCCAGCTTTGACAGCTGATTTAAAAACAGAAAAAGAAAAGTATTTACAAGTATGAACGCACACCTGGACATCCAGCACATCAGCTATAGCCGAGGAGGAAGCCACTGACTTGGCCTTACTGGATCCTGGCACAGCACTTGGTTCAACCATGCCAAGGACACAGAAGACGCTGACTGGATGGGCACCTGAGCCACGAGCACAGACTGCCACACACACGCCCCCTCTGACTGGACCAGGTTCAACAGAACTGAAAGGAACAATACTGCCTAACGATCAGTTTGTCACTGCCTGCTGCCCACACCTAGTCCACTGGGCAGGGGGGACGTGGTGATCACAGGCCCAAAAGAGCTCTATCTGTGGCAAAGGTTTGAGCCTGTTATTGTTTCCCTGGATGACTCCATAGCTTTTTCTCACTGAAAAATCTTTCTTGCCTTCCTGCTCATTATTTTCTAAAGAATGTTCAAAATATTCCACTATTTGCTAAAGATAACAGAGAAGGTCACAAAATGAGGCACATTAAGCACACTGAACATAGCCTCAGTACTTGTTTGGTATTTGAGGCCAAAGCCTGGCTCACCCAGGTACCTACTCCTAGTGGGCACACGGCATCGGCATCTATCTGCAGACTGAAGGCCACAGGAACCTCCTCAGACTCCTGCCGGCCAGCCAGGGATGAGCATACGGAGCCAGGGCCCACTTCTTCCCTAGGGATGTCCCCAGTGAGTTCAAGCAAGCACAGATTCAACAGCGGACAGAAACAGTCATCCCACACCCTGAGCAGCAGCATAGCTGCTCCAGAAAGGCCTGCCGAGGAGCCCACCAGGAAGACTGGCCAAGCCTGGTTACATGGGGTTTTCAGACCAAAGCAGACCCAGAAGACAGCAACACTCAACTCCAATCTGCCTCCTAGGCCAAGTCACAAAAGCTTTCTCAATCATATGAAAAGAAGGTAATTTAATAAAGGGCTGGCCAACCCCCGTGGCCCATGTCCAGAGGTATAAAAAGGTCAACCGCCAGATCTTGCTTCTGTGATGGACAGACTCTGAGCTAAGCCTCAGCCTGATGGCCTGATGAGCACTCGCAGGAGAAAGTGGGCATCCCCTAGTGATCACCAAGCTGAGCAGGGTGGCTGACATATACATAGCTCTGGCTTGCCACGGCCTGGTAACAAAGTTCTTGTAGCAACCCTTTAAGTAGGAAGGACCTGGGACAAAGATGGCAAAAAAAATTAGCATTTTTAATGTCTGGGAAGTGCATGCTCAGAGCTCCTTGCTATGTTTTTCTCTGGAGTATTATTTTCCATGGGTGAACATCTCTCTGTTCTAGTCTGCCGAGGGTCAGGAAGGCCTTTCCTTCCATTTCTCTTGGTGTTTTGTTTTTTGAAACAGGGTCTCGCTGTGTAGTCCAGGCTGGCCTTGAACTCACTATGTAGCCTAGATTGGCCTTGAACTCACAGCAATCCTCCTGCCTCAGCCTCCCGAGTGCTGAGATTACAGGCATACACCACCACTCCTGACTCTTCCTGTTGATGTTGAATCCTCTTTCTCTCAGGAAATGGAGAAGATGGGTAGGAGTCCCTCTGTCCTGTTTTCTTTCTAGCAAAATGACCTCAGACTATATAGTGTGAAAATATGTAATACTACAGAGCCTGCACACTAAAAACATGGCTTACAGGGTGACTTTTATGTGTATTTTACTAAAATGTTTAGAAAAATTTTAAATGATTTTGGAAAACAAGTTGGCGATCAATTCTAGACCTCATACTTTCTTTTTATTTTAAATCTAAAACTCCAGGAGTCAGCATTCTGCAGTGAACTGTGACAAGTAGTTTCTGACAGAGTTGGTGTTTTTACCCGTGAATATTACACACATGTGGATGCACACATGCATGTGTAAATAATCGTGAATGTGTTCCAAGTCAGATGCTGAGCAAGACGTGCTTTTCATTTTGCTTCTCCTCATTAGAGGTAAAACACAGGAAATGACCATCACCGGGGACAGGAGAAGGACCCTGTGGTTCACCCTCCTCTCAAGCTCGGACACCAGAGGACACAGCTTTCCTGGGGCTTCTCAGCTCCACGCAGCAGCGGTGCAACACAGCACTGACACTTTCATCATCGCACACGAACACGGCTTTGAACTGTCCCCTCTGCTCCCCAAACCCAGCTTTCAAATCCTAACTCTTTAAGCAACAGGCATACCCCACTTCTGCCAACTCTGCAAAGCCCATCTTCCTGCTTTATTTATCTGAAAACAACCTCACCCCAGGGCTCCATTTCACCAAGTAAGGCTCTCTGTGAGGACCCTGCAAATCAAACAGTAAACTGGGGCCTTTCTCAGAAAACTGGGACTCCAGTGCATGCCAGAAGGTAGGAATTACATCTTGAGGCAAAGAAGAAGCTGGATTTTATTTTTCTTTGAGAAAACAAATGAAAAAGGAAGGAGAAAGAAAAAGAAAACTGGTACTGTGTCTGGACTGTGGCAAAATGCCCACAGCTTTCACAGTAATAGCAAATGCACATTAAAGAGAATAAAGAATAGGAAGCTCTACATCTGTGAACACTGTAGGGAGGGATTTCCAGGGTCTGCTCGCTCGCTTTTCACTCTACTGTTGAGACACCACATTTCATGGGGGATGTCTGCTATGCTGACTCTAGTGCCTCAGGGAGAAATCCAACCACTGGCCAAGGGGACCAACCTCTCTCCTGCTGGAGCCAGGGAAGGCAGTGGCCAATCCCAGGAGACCCACAGCCAACCCCCAATTCACCGTTAAACCACAGGAAAAACAAGGGACTCTTTGTACTGAAGATGCCCAGGCTCTAACCGCATAGTAAAACAAACAGCTAGTGGGGCAAGAGCGTTACAATGTTCTGCTGCCGGGCAGCAGACCTCAATGCCTCGAGGGACCAAGCACGTAGGAAAATGAGCCCAGTATCTGTGCGTCAGGCCACAAGGCATGGTGGAGACTGAGGTACACTGGAGAGGTCACACCCACCTCAGGACGCCCACATTTAGTTTCAGACCTGGGTCTGGCAGATGTGATGTTAATGGGTGAATGAGTCACCTGCTAGGTGACACTTCGCATTTCTACCGTGAGATCCTGATGGCTCTTAAGATACCACTAAGAGCTGTGCCATGCACACCCCACAAGGAAGCCGCTGTCAGCGTGCTGTGCCACAGCCCAGTCACCTCCCAGCCCCTTCTTTCCGCCCTCCTGGCTTGAGCAACCTCCTGCTTCAGCCTGGTGTCGCGTGGTCCTCCTGTCGTGTGGCACAGCCAGCAGGATGAGGGGGCTGCAGGTGGCTTCAGAGAAAGGCCTCCTTCCCTGACATGCACAGGTGCTAGGAGACACTGCCCACTTCCAGTCCTGGGCAAGGACAAGGTCAAGAGCTTCAGAATGGTGAGGGGGGCCTCTCAGGTGCCCCAGACTCTTCCGGAGCACCCTGCAGGGCCAGCGGGGGATCACCTTCCTGCTCGGGGAGGCGATCGCATCCCTTAGTGTCTAAGGCTGTGGCACCTGCAGCTGAAAGCCTACTGCGCTGAAAGAGAACGTAACATAGGCAAGGCGGGGTAGCTTGCTTCAGGCTCTGCACCACCTGAGTGGCTGTGATCACCAAGGGCCCTGGACACCGAACCCACTTTCTTTCCAGGGAGCCATGTGACCTCCGTCCCTTCATCCATTAACTGCATTTCACAGGAACTCACTGAGCACCAACTCCATCGCAGCTGCACCGAGGGCACAGTCTGCAGCCAGGCAGAGCCCCTGCCCTCTGGGCTGACGGTCCATCAGAAAAGTAACTGGGAACCTGCTCACCACAAGCCAGGCCTGTTCTGAGCACCACAAGAGTCTTACAGATACTGTCACAGTCCCCATCTTAACACAGAGGAATCCTCCCTGTTCCCCCGGGACACACGCCTCACAGCCAGGCATGAGGTGGCAAAGAGCACAAGGCAGTGCAACATGTGAGGACAAAATGATAGGCAGAAATGGCAGGATACAAAGATGGTCAGGGCCACACAGGGAGAGGCCCCAGGCCAGGAGGGCGGCTGGACGGAGGGAGGTGAGGTGCATCAGTTATGCCAGGGCCCCCACAGGCAGGGTCTGAAGCACCCCTCAGGTGGCACTGCTGCTAGGCCCATCACAAGGACCTGGGGCCAAGCCTCAGGGTGCACACAGGCGGGGCGAGGGTGCCAGGAGGGGGCCAAGTTCCTGCTTCCTCAGATACCCACCAGCCTATGGTTGGCACCTACAGAGCACAGATGGCTGAGTGAAGACATGAACCAATAGGCTGATGCTATTTGGAAGAGCTGACAGGGCCACTGGCTCAGAGGGAAGGGCTGTGGGCTTTGGGGACCCACAGAGCATGGGGGATGCATCCCACCACTGACAAAAGAGGGACCTGCTTTTGGAGTAGGAATATCTCTCTCTTAGGGGGGCAGTGGTTCACTAGAAAGAGAAACAGAGACTCCAGGGCAGGACTCTGATGCCCCCAGCTCCGCCTGGTTTCCAATAAATGCTGCGCAGAGGGACGGGGAGGAGGAGCCACGAGATGTGCAAAGCTGGGAGAGCAGGGAATTGCTGTCATCTGGCCCATTCTCCACACACAGCATCAGTCCCTAGCATCTTAAAAACTGACCCCTTCACACCAAGGATGACCCCGCATGACAATGACAGGAGATGTGAGATGAATGAGTAACTCCAGGCTTCCTCAGACACCAATGAGCCCATGGAGCAGAGCAGTGAATGAATGGGAGCATTCAGTCCTGCAAGCGCAGCCAGGCTCGGGGCTCCCGAAACCTGGAGATTAGACAGGCTTTGAGCCCCTGGGTCTGCTGTCCCACCACCTGCCTACCTCTCTGGAGGCGCCCTGACCTAGCACATCATCAGACCCAGACTGAGCTTTGAAGGGATCCACAGAACCAAACCCTTTGTGCATGGCTTCAGATGAAGCAGGTGAGGCCCCCTCTTAGAGTGAGATGGTGGTGCCATCTTAAAATTTGCTTCTGCTGGGCG